TTTGAGGAAAATGTAGTTCTTGTCAGTACAAAAGAGCTTTGGGAGAATATCCTGAGAGTCCAGGAACATCGCTGTCTAGTTTTCAGATGGGGATAGCAGGGCAAAGAGCCAGGCAGATGTGGAGAAAATGACTTGAGGGGTGACTTCAAGAACTGACAATAGATCCATGCTTTGCTTCAACTTCTTAGATCAAAGACTGTTCTTATTGCTGTGGTTCTGGTCTGTGGGTATTAGGGGCACTCATAATTAGCAGAGAGTTAAACAGGGGATTTCAAGACAGGACATCTGTGCAGATACACGTTGTCCAGATGTGAAGCCACTGCCATTATAGGCATACCTGGAAAGAACTTCATCCTGCTGCTTTCCTGGAAATTTATCCATTTACCAAGGACCTAGTAAGCAAAGATGAATTCATATTGTATTCCTTTGGCCAATTCCCATAGATAAGGTCTCTTCAGTATGTGTAACACCTCTATTAGTGAATCTCTCTTCTGTACCTGAAACAGAGAAAGCCAAAGCAGAGCAAAGACACACTTGGAATACAGTTGAAAACAAATCCTTGTCTCTGGTGTCTAAAGGAACTGTGAAGCTTCTTTGGGAGGGAAACAATGGTAAGCTAGCATGAAACTTCATGAAGTCAAGGTTCTGTGTTGTCTGAGATGGATCTTGTTTGTAATTGAGAAGGGCAGTGGGGAAAAAACATAACTGGATTAGAAAGGACATCACTAGAATAAAGAGCATTCTGAGAGTTCAGTGCACAAAATCTGTGTAAGACTTGTTTTAGTGGGACATAAAATCATCAGTGATGAGAAATATAAGAGTTTTGGGAGACCTAGGATGCCCTAGGAACCTCAAGCACAAAAAGTAAATAATGTGCGGAGGCTCTGCCTGATCTGTGTTTGATTTTTGTTCTCTTTACCCTTCCAAGCTGCAGCTCTGCGTTTTACCGGTTGGAATTTAAATGTGTTGTTACAGTAGCATCTTTGTTGGAGATGGACCGTGACTCGTGCTCATTAAGGCTACAGATGTCTGCTCAGATTATGTATTTCAAAAGCTTTTTCTCCAATGAACTGTGAAAAGCCAGGCTTGAGCAGAGGATTGTGAAAGATAAAATAATAGCCTCTCATCCCTGTGTCTGGCAGACTTAATGCAGTTACTCTCAGGTCTTTTATTAAACTTTGAGACAGCAGATTTGTTCACAGTCAATAAATAAGCACTCTGAGCACAGCCCGTTACATTTCCTTTATCAGTCTTTTCTTAAATTATTCACAAAGCTTTTTACACTCCAAAAATCTCTAATCTGTGAATTCAGCGTTTCCTGGATACTAGGATTTAATAGGCATAAGTGGCATTGATAAACTGTTTATATGTGGCACAATTAGAAAACAGATCTTCTTAAGGGGGGGAGGGAAGCACGAAAGAATAAATACTCCATGGATTTAAATTAAATTCGCTTGCCCACTCACCTTTTTTGTGAATTTTGCACTTAGTAGCACAGCAGATGGAACTTTTTAGACCTGCCTGGATAATACCTGCTTCTCCTGGGAGAGGATAGCTGAATTATCAAGAAATTCAGTTCAGTTACTTCTGTCACGTAAACATTTGCTGAAAGTTACTAGAGCAGAGCTAAAGAGTCATGGCTTTTGTTTCCTTTAGTCGTGCATGTCCAGCTGAAAGTTCTAAGGTGTTTTCTGTATCTCACTTTCTCCTTATACAGTGTGCATAAAATGCATAGAGGTTCCTCAGGCAGTCTCAGCTCAGTACCCCTCATTCCCTTACACACGTCTGTATATTTACCAGGCTCTACAAAAAACCAGAATGTTATCATGGAGCTGTAAGAAGTTATTCATTTCAACATGATCAGATCTTTAGTAAGATGAAGCAAAAACGTGATGTAAAAGCCTCTTGTATACAAAACTGCCTCATAGTTCTGCTACTTCTGATTTAGCTGTGCCACAGAGCAGTTTTCTTGTGGGAGCATTACTTTGGAAGACTGTTAAGGGCAGTTCATTTCTTTGCCCCTGAGTGGACAGTGCCCTCTCCAGGGCTACAAGCCAAGCGCTGCTGATAGGCTCAGGTAATTTTACTTTCATCTTTTGCAGATTTGGATTTACTGACTTTGCTAGAAAAGAGGTTGGTCTTTTGTAGTACAAACTATACCAGAGCAGAAGTTTACAAGTATGCTTACCATACTTGTAAGCATAGTTTGCTAAGGGAGCATAAGATTATGTCTTCCTGGACCAGAAGTCCCACCTATCATAAGGTTGTTATTGTGGTGGAATAAGACTTTGTTTCAATGATAGCTGAATCTCTCTAGATAGAACTCCATCTTTGGTATGGTCTATTCCTGTAAAGTTATAGAGACTATCCGTGTTTAGGGAGCTGGATTGTTTGAATGGGGAGAGTTCTCTGTGCAAATACTCAACGCTACCTGGTGCACAAGAAGGAGCACTTAGCAGATAAACTAGATTCTTCACAGGAAGAATCTCAGTACTCCTCAGTGCAGCTTCATGTTAAAGTTGCATGGGATAGAATTGGCTGGACTGGTAGAGATACTAATTCCAATCCCAAATGCATTATTGCTGTTGGTCAGTTCAAAGAGTGCACCAGACAGCAGTATTCAAAACGCACCTTCATGGCTCTGCTTCTGGTTCATTGATTTCCACACAGATCCGTAGGCATGCCCTTAGGTTGTTCTTGTTTTCAGAGAGACAGTGAACTAAATGGGAATACAAGAAATGGATCTAAAAACCTGAACAGTAATAGTTACTGGTAAATAAATGATGTTTCATTAGCCACGGTAATCCCAATCTCCAAAACAGCATGTTAACTGCAAATTTACCCCAGATCTCTGCACAATATACGTGTGGTTGTATGAAAAGGACTGTAAAACCAGATAAAAGAGATGTTTTCTTTCACACTGTCCTAAAGGTGGTCATCAGATCCTATCTGACTTTTGACAAAGTACTTCTTCAGCAGTCTGGTTAATCCGTTTGGATTTATGGAATTGTTTGGTGCAGAACCTAGGAGATACTATCCTAAACAGGTGGATAACCTTTAAAGTTTAGAAAAGATGTTTACATACTTCTCTCATTTTTCTTCCCTTTTAATAAGATGGAGATTATAAAGGGAAGGGACTGTGCTGCAGAATAATCCCATGGTAACTAATTAGATCTCATCAAGTCTGCAAAGCCATACTGGTTTCAGTCTTATGCCAGTGCACTGTAAACAGTGAGCCAAGGTGAATGGGAGTCTTGTGGTGTTTTACTGGGATATCATAATATATTTACCTTCCTTGCACTAAAGACTGCAGGTAGTGGTATTCATCCATGGATCAGCCCTTGCAAATAAACTTGTTGATGTTTGCATAAAAATGATCTGCTTGTCGTTATACTCCCTGTGCTGGGCCTTGTCTGTGATACGTGACCTGAATTCGTTTCTCAGCTGTTGAATTTAAGGGTTTATTAAAAGAGGCACAGTAATATGTGATGAGCTGTAATTAAAATTACTAATGCATGTCAATTCCCTTCCTCCCTTCTGCTTTGATTTACATTCTTCATGCAGACTTTGTTCACTTTACTGAGTGAGCCAGAGACCTACTGTTGACTGGTAACAGTGGTTTCTGCTTTCTCTCCAGCACAGTTGCATGGAGAAATAAATTTAGTAAGGATCCTCCCTGAGGTGTTACACTAGGTATCAATCAAAGTCTGTGGCTTGCAGCTGTCCTGCAGAGCTTTGGTCTATGGTTATAGTGGCATCATCAGTAAAACACATCTATTTGAGTGCTAGTTTTCATAGTTGGTAGCAGGATCGATAATCACAGAATCATAAATTGGTTTGAATTGGAACGGACCTAAAGATCATCCTGTTCCAACCCGCTGTCGTGGGCGGGGACACCTTCCACTGAACTAAGTTGCTCAAAGCCCCATCCAGTCTGGCTTTGGATGAACCCTTCCAGGGATGGGCCATCCACAGCTTCTCTGGGCAACCTGTTCCAGTGTCTAAATATCTATGCTTTAAAATAGAGATGTTTAAAGGATTTGCCATTTTATGTTGTATTATCTTGTTAACTAATGCCGAAGTTATTTTTAATGATGCTGGAAATTGTAGTTTGTTTAACCATGGAAGTGAACTACCAAAATCAAATATTGAGAGAGATACCTCTGAACAATGGGTGCTTGAGGAAAGCTCTTCTATTATGCTGGACACAGTCAATATTTATTTCATTATTCTGTTAGTGACTCTTGCAATTCTGAATGATGAAAAAGCAGTTTTGGTTGATAGAGAAAAGAAAGGAAAATCAAGATGTACTGTCCCAGCCTTCTGCAGTAGGAAATTAAGAATTTGGATGGATCATGCTCTTGTAATTGTGTGGATTTTGGGCTGGGTTGGCTTGCTTTGCTTTTTACTCAGCCTCTCGTTTTTCTTGAGGTCGAGGAATGTCAGAATAGCCTGTTTGAGTCCATAAGGAATTACAGCCTGCACAGAAATGGAAATTTTTGCCCAAAAAAAGAAAATCTTACTCGAAGGCTGCATGACCTTGTGAACATGGGACTGAAATGGTGTCGGGGAATGTAAAGTAAAAAAAGAGTGGATATCTAATGTGGTTTGTCAGGTGCAGCTGAGGTACTGTGGTTATGGCTTGAACTGGGTTTCTCACCTCTGGAAACAAAAGTTAATGACTGATAGGTAGGGATGGGGAGATGATCCCACAATAGTGCACATACTTCCTGCTATGGTGTGCATTTTTCTCTTTCTCAGTTTGTCTCTGCCTAATAGTTTATGTGCTGGCACTTACTGTGAGTGAGGATGGACTGAGGGACAGCCAGCCAGTCTCCTGTTTGCATGCATGTGCTTTTAATAATCCAATCTTTCACCATCCAGACAAAAGAGGAAAACCTGCTTTTGTTGCACGGTGTGTTAGCAGGAAACACAGCACAGGTCAAAAGCAGTTTTATATTGAAACAAATCTCAGGCTTCCTTTTCCTTTTGTCTTACAGAGGCAGGCAGCGGCCAAGACTACGTGACCTCAGAAAACCAGCTGCTTTACTACCCTAGTATTACCTATGCCATCATTGGTAGCTCTGTCATTTTCGTACTTGTGGTGGCTTTTCTTGCCTTGGTCCTGCACCACCAGCGGAAGCGCAACAATCTCATGACGCTGCCGGTGCATCGCCTGCAGCACCCTGTGCTGCTGTCCCGGCTGGTGGTCCTGGATCACCCACACCACTGCAGCGTCACCTACAATGTCAACAACGGGATACAGTACATGTCCAACCAGGCCTACCACAGGCCCGTGGACCTGGACTCCCCGCCATCCTACTCAGAGGCTGTGCTCGATCAAAGGTATGTGCAGGAGGTAACTCTGTTTCTCACTAGTGGTTACAGCTCTGTTAAGCTGTGCTGCTGCTCCCCGCTTGTTCTTATTACTGCTTTTGACAGAATTCTGGTGTTGCACTTCTGTTGCATGCATAGGGTGAAATTTCAGGGTAAATTTGAGCTCCTCCTGTATCTGAAAAATTCATGGTCCTCAGGTCCTTTTACTGTTACTGATATTGGAGGGATTTGAGGCAAACTTTAAGTCAGGTTCTCTTAGCACATGTTGTTGGTAGTAGAGATTTTGAGGATGGTAGGAAAATGCAAAAGAATGTATCACTTGTCTAGTATTGATATCCTATGCTAGTCTGGAGTCAAAACATGAAAACTGAATTTGGAGTTTTGCTAAAAAAAACAGCTATGTTACAGGTCATAGCATTAAAAAAAACCCAGTCCTGTTCATATATGGTAAGTATATAAGAGTGAGAGAGTTCTTCAATTCCTCTATAAAGAAATTGTATCATTCTTCTGCTCTGCACTACTTTACCAACAGAAGAAAAGAATGGGACTCTGAAATGTAAAGCACTGTTCTTATTTTAAATAGCTGAAAGTGCTTTGAAGTTTGGTGGGTGGCTGTGGTTTGGCTTATGATGTTTTTGATGTTTTTGTAGTTATGACACTGGTTTTATTTGTAGGGAATTAACCTTCATTTCAATCTCTGTCTGTAAAGTCTTTCCCAACAAAAATCCTAGACTGACATCCTCCCTACATAAAAAGGGTATGGTACAAACTTTAATGATCCAGATTGTTCACTATCACCACACTGGTATTTTGGGATCTAAGAATAATAAATTTACATTCCTATTCTCTGTTGCCTTTGGCTGCAGATCCCTTGTCTTAATGTTGACTTTCATAATAATTATTTCTTTTCATTACTAAGGACAACTAAATGAGCAGCTGTCCAGCTTGTAATCGTTTCTCACCTGAGCTGATATGAACTATCAGCAATTTCAGAGCTAATTGCTCCCAGGACCTGTTATCAATCTACTCAACCCTTCAGTCCCTTTATTAGTTTGCTATCAGAACCACAGAACAGTTTTCCTGAATGCAGTACTCATCTTGTTTGTGGCTACTTAGCAGTTTCTCTGTATGTGATCTCATGACAGCAAAAGTGATTTGTCAGTGTGGAGAATTCAGTTTGTTATTTATTCGTAGACTCTAAGCCATAAATCTCTGTCACTTAATGGAGGTTTCCTGGGAGCTTAAGTCTTGTGTTCACATCATTATCTGTAGGTGTAAATCCACCACTTACGATATTTCTTTCAAAGTGCTTTCTCTGGTGTAAATATTATACAGAAAAATTTTTTACCTCTTGCAGCTGTCTTTGAGCCAGCTTTGTTGGAGGTCCTAACTCAGAGTGTGGATTGTTAAGCAGGATGTAATTAGTTATGTTGCACCTTGACCAGAAACCTGGGTTCCCAGGTGCAATGTGGGTATTTTGAAATTACCTACAGGCAGGTCTGAGATCTCCTCATTTGTGTCATAATTGAAAAACTAAGAAATACTGTTTGGTTTTTTCATAATTGGAATACTATGTGCTGTCTTCTGTACCACTGTTTTCAGTAACTTCTTGCTCTGTTGTGTATCTTACAGCAGACCACCTTGGTTTGACCTTCCTCCACCACCTTATTGTTCTGAATCTGAATCCCCTAATCAACCAGATCTTCCTCCTTACCGATCTCGGACAGGAAGCTTGGCCAGCACAGACACCCCCAGGGCAGAAAGTCCTCTGGGCACATCCGACAGTTGGACAAGAGACATCCATGGCAGCATGGATGGCCACAGAACTCTTCTTGGGAGGACAGTAGATCAGAGCAATTCTCTGGTCAACCACGTCGCTGAAAGAGAAGTGTAACTGCTCCAGTATTTGGGACGGGCAGGAAGGCATTTACTCTGTATGAGTTAGTCTGCAGTGGCTAATAGGTTTCAGGGGGACATGTGCCTGAATGATGACTTGATTTGAATTCACATTAAGTTAGTATTTGAATGCAGCATTTTGGGCTCATCAAGTACAGAGGGCTAAACCTGGAGTCACATCAACTTTCCATAATATTTCTGTGAGCAGGCTCTGATTCAGACAAGTAAGAGAAACATCAGTACTGTGTCAAAAGAACTGATGTGATGTATTTATTGGACTGTTTACTGTATATGAATGTATATATGTATGTGTATAATATATACAGAAGTTCCACACAAGAACTGTGCCAGAAGGACTCTTGTTTTCAAACTGCCTCCCATCTTGTCAACATCTGAGCTGTTTCTTCTTACTGCCTGGTGCCAACTGGTGGTCAATGAAGCACGTGAGGCAGTCGTTCTGCTTGGAGATCTGATGTCCAGTGCCAGCCCCCTGGCAGTGCTCAGATTGCAGATGTCCTACTTGACCCCTCTCTTCATGCCTGGAACATTCTCACCATGAAGGAGTTTTAAGCTTGTAAGGATGCAACAACTGTAACTGAGCAAACAAGGTTTTTTTCACAGATGCTAGTATCTAGGCCAGATTTGCATGGGTTGTCTCAGCAACACCACAAAGGTTTATCTGTCAGACTTCAAGGCTGAGTACAGAGGCACTGAAGCATCTCAAAAACACAGTTCAAGATTTCTTTTCCTGTGTGGAAAAACAACATTACTCCATGTGTTCCCTCTTTAAAAAAAACAAAAAAACAAAAAAACAAAACACCACAAATAAATAACAAAACAAAGAAAACACCCGAATTATTAAAGCTAAATCTTCAACACCAAAACCAGTCTGAGGCAAACACCCAGCACAGAAAACTTTAAGTTCAATGGCTAGTTTGTTTTATCGGTAAAATATCTGAAAGTAGGTTGTGGTGGAAGGTGTTAGGCTTGTTGTCCCTGTCTTTAGTGTGTGTAAGTACATGCATGGATATACATGTGTAATATTATGTGTAGGTATGTATGTAGTGCATCACATAGGTTTAGTTCCACTGCTCCACAAGAACTCTAGGCTGTCAAAGTTTCATTTTTGATGATCTCATTTTTTATAGAGTTTGCATTATTCATGTTCATTTGGTTGAAATTCTAACTTCTGCAGAAAACCGGGATTATTTATGTCTGTTTTGTCCTAACTCTTGGAATGATCTCCTGTCGAGTGTGTTTCAGTGCACCTTATTGAAATCACACATGTGAAAGCATCTCAGAGGTAAGGGTATTCAGAGTGGTAAGAGCGAAGAAGCCATGAGTTTAAATGCCACTGCAGTGCAGTGCTTGTGCTCCATATACAGAAAACAATGCAGTGTCTTCCTCTTGTCCAGGCAGAAATTTGCCTTGAAAAATTATTTGTGTTTGTCTATCCTGCATTTCCCACTCCTTCTATGCAAAAGAACCATGCCATTAAGCACCCTTTGCTGTTCCAAGGAAATGAAGGAGGCAGACTGCCCACACCTCTTGCTTTCCTCTTCCCCATCTTTCTAAGGTAACTTCTTTCACCCAAAAGTTACATGTTCAGAACCCAAGAATTTTAGAGCTGGAGTGTAGGTAGGGGAACGATTCAAATTCAGTCTCAGTTCCCACACGTACACCTGAATTTTTTGGTGTTTTTTTTTCATTTCCAGTTCTGAGGTCTACTGCCATGTTATGTAAGAGGCAGGGCTGGATAGATTTGCAAGCACAGGTACCAGAACTGAGATGATGTGGGGGGAAGTACTGGAGAATTGTAATGCTGATGGGCTTGGCTGACTTTGGAAGCAGATTAATGGCAGCCTGTCGTGAAGTCTTGTTGACGTTGTTGCTCCTAGGTTCTTGTAATGTAATGTACAAGATTGGGTAAGATTTCATCCTTGCTGGGAACTCAAGCATTTAATTATGCTGCTCTTCACCAAGCAGGATTTGGCTTATTAATGACTCCATCCGACATTGTAGGCAGACTGTTGTCATTGTCACATAGCGGACAGTTTATTTTACAGGTACATCAAACTCAGGTACATGAATAGTTAATAGTACAGGCAGGTGTAGGGATGTCTCCTGTGACCACTGGGCCCTGCTGTCCATCTTGCCTTTTATTAAGATTATGTTTGGCCTTTGTAAGACAGCTATACCAGAATGAGGTATCAGAATTAACCTTGGATGTTCTTCTACTGCAGTTTTAAATCTTTATATTGGACTTGAAAACATACCATTGAAGAGTTTGCAGTAGTTTCATTGGAATTAGGTATCTTTTTTATTTTAAAGGTGCCTAAGGCTGTATTAATGAAACTAAATCATTGTGTCCAGTATCCCTCAAACAAGCCTTCCATGGGGAATTACATTTCACCATGTGTATTCTAAGATACCAGTGTGTGTTCAAACCAAATATTTTGTGCCTATGGCATCTGAAAAACATTGCCTTGCATTGCTAAGAAGTGGGAAAAGAGTGAATATAGCCTGCTTCTCTGCCTTCTGTGTCAGTCACTTTTATATATGTACAAATATATATATTAAAAATACTCTTTCAGGTTGTATATATTCATGTAACTTTTGCGTTAAGATAGTCCATTAGGACTTTACAGAGAACAAAAAAAAGAAAAAACATTCTAAATGGTGTGACATTTTCCCTTCTAGCTAAGGGAGTATTTATCTTTGTATAGGAATCTTCTAGTTTTTGAGAACACAAGTTATAAAAGAAGATGGTGCCTTTCTGTTTGAATGTTGATTTGGGAGGCTGTTAACTACATTTCTGGGTGTTGTTACATATCATTGTCTAGAGATCCAAAAAGAGCAACAAATCTTGTCTTCCTCTTCATTATTATTCATGGGGACCACTGAACTTTGAGGATGACAGAAGTTCAGTACCTTGCTCCAAAAAGACATGCTAAAACTTGGGGTGCTTGGTCTTACTACATTTTTCTGGTTTGCAGAACAGGTTTGCTAGCTGGTTGCTTTGGAAATTGCTGTAGTATTATACAGGAGTTGTTTATGATATGTCACTTTTAGTAGTGTTAATACAGCATTACGCTGCACTAATCAGTGGAATCTTTGGGAAATCTGCTGATTAAATTAAATATTTCATTGACAATCAGTAGCTTTTCAGCATTTAGGCTGAAGTTAAATGTTCATCCAATACCACATGGTAGGATTTCTTTTCAATAGTGGGTAAAATTGGAATTGATCATCCTATTGTTTGCAGTTGCTCTTAACTTTTTAGTTTGAGGTTAGTTGTCCAACAGCTTTCTTTTCTACTTAATATTTAAACAAGTGGATGTTATTTCAAAGACCCATTCTTACAAAAGTAAAATCAATTAAAGTTTTCTTCCAGAACTGAATTCTGTTTCCACATCTGTACTGAATGGTGACCACTATTGAGTAGTCCTCCTCAGCACAGCTATTAATGTATTTGAACAAAAGAATTTGAAGAAATGACTACTTGAGGTAAATAAAGAAATGTGGATTAGCCTATTGGAAATAAGGTTATTTAAAACAAACAAGTAAATAAATTTCAGGAGTTTTGAGTGTCTATAACCTCTGCTGAAATCAGTGCTGTGTATTTAAAATTAGGCCATTAATGTTTCTGCTTGATAGTAATCTGAAATTCCTTGTAAGGCAAATTACTGTTTGCCTCTGGTATTGGAAATGGAAAACTGGCAGTAATGCTCTTAAAAGAGAGCCTGTGAATAATTTTCTTGGCTCTTCTCTGCAATGACATACACAACAACACTGACTGCATTGCAATTTTTAAATAACTCTGCATTCATTCTTACTTTCTTTTTAAGTCAAATCAGTTTTATTTACACCACTTCACTTTGATACAGCTAATAGGGCCCTTGTGATAGATTTAGAAACTGAGTGGAGGAAAGAGATGACTTTTATTTTAATTAATGCTGCAGCTTGTTAATCTTGTGCTCTTTACTTTTTAGACATCTTAGGAAAGACAAGTGGTTTTAGCAGATAAGAAAAACTATTAATGATGAAAAGGATGGAGGGACACTGATTCTGATTTTTAATGAATATTTAAAATTGTATGAATGAAGGAAAAATTTAATGCTGTATTTTTAATGTGGTGATCAGATGACAAGTACTGTCTTTAACTGTTGCTTATTGGAAGTTACTTTGCATATAATGTCTGTAATTAAAACTGTAAGACAAGGGCTTTTCTTGCAGTTCTTAATAGATCTGAAGTATTTTTTTATTAACACAAGGTTATATTACACCCATGGACTAAAATGTAGACTGCAGAAAGAATTTGAATACTGTGCTGGATTCTGCCTTACTGTATCCCAGTACAGAACAGTGGCCTTCATTTGTCCTTTTTTTTTTTTTCTTCTGATCTGAGGGGCTTCGTCAACTTGAAATGGAGAAGTTATCTAAACACTTTAAGGGAAGTTGTATGTTGAAACGTAACCTTGTCTTAAACTTTTGTAAACTGGAAATCTTAAAAAATGTATTCTGTATTCCTGAATAAAATTGGTGTTTTAATACTGTTCACAAGTGAGCATGTCCCCTCATGAAGCCTCAGTTGTTTTAGCTTTATAGCCTCCTACGTGAGGCTTCTTACAACTTCTTTTGCATTCCATCTTAAGTTTTGTTAAATCTTTGTGGGTTTTAAATATGTTTTTAAAACAAAGGTATGTGGGAAACCCACATGTACCTGCGTGTATAAAAATATATTATACAAATGAAAATTGCTTAATTTCATAGTTTCTCATTTTGCCGTTCTGTTTGTACTACCAATGATAAGGCATCTGAACCAGTGGTGTTTTGTTGTCTGCTTTGTTGCAAAGCTCGAGAGGCTTCAGCAGAGATTTGTGCTCTGTGCTGTATACAGATTTACTAACACAGCCAAAGGGCCTTCAGCATTCACTTCTGCCTGCCACTTTCGCACCACTTAGGTGCCCAGCACAGCATCTCTGTTTATCTCCAGGTCTGTGATCCACGTGTCAGACGTGTGAGCCAGATTCAAGTTGAGATGCTTTGTGGAGGTAGCATGTCTGGCTGCAGTCAGGACTCTTTCCCTGGCAGATGCTGGTGCAGGCACCACCACTATCATGGGAACTGTCCAGCCCCATGAAGTCCAGGCCCACTTGACATCTGGATCATAGCCACTCTTTTTATCAAAGTCACTCGAAGGACTATTGTTAACAAGTACCCCTTATGTTATAAAGTTACTTTAACAGACTAAGGAGAACAGATTCAAATGTTACATATAAATATTTGCATCTATAGGAGAGGTTGGGTTGACGTATTTTTCTTCCATGACTATTCTCCACTTGCTACCTTTGCAAAGTCATGCCAGTGTTACCATTATCCTCGCTAATTAAATCACATGCCCTCGCCCAAATTCTCAGATGGTAACCTTTGTTTGATGCTGGCAAACTGCCCCAAAATAGCTATGGATCCAGAATTCACACCAGCAGCACAGGGGAGATGGAGCTGTTGAGGCTGTCACAGTGGGCTCTTTGCAGGGGAGGAAATGCTGGGGTCTCAGAGCTGGCTTGTTCAGACACATCCCAGCAAGAGCTATGCTTGAGAAATGTTGATTCAGAAGACAGCTGCTTATAAAAATAAATACCATACTCTCCAGCTAAGCTCCCTGATTAATCTTTTTTATTCTCTCTGCTTTGATTTGTTTAAAGATCTTAATTTTTATACCTTAAAAATTAAGTAGGCAGCAGTGGTTTCTGAGTGCAGCTTCTTTTCTTGCTGGTTTGTAAGCAGTCTCTTGATCAGTCAGCCTCAGTTATCTGTTGGAGAGAGAAATAAGCAGCTTTTCACTGTTTGGAGAGCTGTAGTCCAAAATGATGTGCTGTTATTAATTGAAAACAAGACATCTTCATGTGGAAATTCACAGTTCTGCTTTTCAAAGTGAAGTTGAGGGTATGCATATTGCATAAAGCACTTTGGAAAAGTACTGGATTGATCTCTCTAGGGAATTATCTTTTCTGTTTATCTGCCAAACAGACTGTGAATAGATAAACTTGAACATGATTCTCTGCTTCCCAAAATCCCAGTAGTATTTCTTACAGCCTTATTGAGGGGACCACTGGAGAAGAGGTAGAGCAGTTTTGGGGCTGGTCACACCCTTAGCATTTCTGCAGGAATGGGTACTAAGTGTTTCAGCAGTGCAGTTGCTTTGGTGCTGTATACCATGCAGAAGACTCCTATTCACTGAGAACTGATTTGGGATCATCACTTCCTGTATGCTTCCAACAGCCACTCTACAGGTGGCTTTTTTTTTTTGTTTTCCTCGTAGCTCTTACCTAAGGTTAATTCCTATCAGTTACCCTGAAGTAAAACCTTTCATATCTCGTTGTTTGATACCACAGCCTGTAACTCCTTCAGATTTAAACTACTATCATTTCTTAGCACAAAAGTACAAGAACCTTCACCTGTGTAAGAACAGGAGTAACAGCTCAGCTTCACCCAAACCCACTCACTTCTGGAGGAGCACCCTGGCTGCATCAGTTTGACTGAATAAATCTTAGTTACATTTATTTGGAATACCTGCCATTTCCTTGACAGATGGGAGTCATGTTGCAGCACAGTGATGAAATATGATGTTGTGTTTTACTGTAGCAAGGGATCATGGGAGCCCTAAACAACACCTCATTTGACAGAGTAGATTTTTCTTCTCATTTGTTTGTGACAGTTACCTTAGTAAACACTCTTCGCCTAACACTGCATCCAAGGTAGCACTAGCTTGCAGAGTGTATGGGATACAGGGAGGACAGCAAGGTTGGCTGTTTGAGATATATGTGTGTGTGTGTGTGTGTGTATATATATAAAAAACTCCTTAGGAGATTTCTTAAGTGTTCCAGCTCTTTTACCTGAATAAGAAATATTTAAATGCTGCACAATGAGTGCCTTTGCAGACTAAGGAAATATGGTTGATATTTGGCTGCTCTTTTGATAATTTCTGTTTACTGAGACATGGTGCAAAGTCAAGACCAAAAATTCTCCATGCATCTGTTGCTGTATTGTTCTCCCTTGGCAGCCTGTGCAGAGCAGAGGAGTTAGCAGAACCAACGAATTACCCCAAGTGAATTTGGAGAGTGCTTTGCTTCAGGAATAAAGGAGCTGGCTTACATATCCATTTTCAAGGTGTTGTGTTAGATATGCTGGTTGAGACATGGATTACATAAAATAAAATCATACTTGAGCTTCTACAGCGGAAAAAAAAAAGATGCAGCAGATCTTCATCAGCAAAGCCAATCTCTGGAGCTGACTGCAGGTCAGGGTTAGAAATTCACGTAGAAATGCACCGTAAGCCCAAGTGAAGCTGCAAGTGCAGCACTCACAGTAGAAAGGGTTTGGTAGAATGAATTGGTCTGTCTGGTATCTGTTACCTGAAATATGTGAAAATCATTCTAGATCAATTGTCGTCTTCCTTCAGGAAGCTAAATAGAAATCCTTTGGCTGCTTTGTTGAAGTCATGTTTCTTAAGTAACTAATCACTCTTGTTACTCTTTCTTCTTTCTTTTTATCTGTTATTGAGGTTGGGAGGAAGATTTGCACTGTTTTTTAAGCAGGGGATACCTGAGACAGGGAGAAACATAAAGATGAGTTTCAGGAATAACAGAACCTGCATCTTCCAAGATCCAGCTTCCTGACCACTGAGTAGTGCTGTCTTATCCATACATTTGTGATCTTTCAAATCCATTCAATTTAACAGAAGATTTTTTGCAGATTTAGAGTGGGGAAGAAAAAAAAAAGGTAAGTCTTGACTTGCAGGTAACTGTTTCAAGTTCTCTTTGCAAAAATTCAGGTGGTGATCAAAAGCATAAACAAGTATTTGAATTCCTTGTTTTCTTCTAACTTCTAGGTACTTGTTTGCCCTGTTATTTTTTCAGACTCATTGAAACAGTTATTCTGTATAGCTCTTTGCATGGAGGATGATTTTGCTCTAGGATAAGATTCCAAGCTTATTTCTGTAGGTTTTCACAAAGGAAGGTTGTAGGTTAAGGAATATGTGGACTGTGTCTCCCATAAGGAGCTGTGGTGTATTGGAATGGGTTGCTGTAAATAATGCTGGTTTAAAGATGCGAACTGCAATTGCAGTGTGTGGACGGCAGGGCCACAGGTTCCTACAGATGCTGAAGGAACACTTTGTCAGATGGCTGGCACATTTTTTGCTTTACAGAACTGGGGAGAGGAGGGGGAGGAAATAGGAGAGAGAAATGTCATTTTGACCCTGAGTGTATAGGTAGCCCAAAGTGATACAAGCAACTACAGAGAAGAGTGCAACCCGGCTGCCTTCATGCTGGCATTTGAAAAAATAGCTCAAGATACTGCTTTGAAGGGTAATGTTATTAAGAAAATAATAAAGTCCCCACTTTCTTTTATTGATATTGATATCAAGAATGAGATGAGACAGCGATTTGAAATAATTTTGGGATTTGTTTTTTTTTTCTTCCTTTGAAAATTTAGGTGAAGGTAATTATGGAATGGCAGCAGCATCTGAACTGAAGGGAGTGTTTTTATCTCACCTCCTGCTTTTAAAATAGCTGTGCTCTTATCTCTGCTTTGAGGAAGGGGGTGCAGGGGGAGAGCACCCCGGTAGGACCTGGTGGTCGGTCACCAGATGAATGAAATGCCTTACAAGACCTGAGGCCATTAAAGGCCTCAGCAAAGATATTAAGAGCCTGCCAATGTGCTGATAGCATGTTTTGTATTAATCTGATGAAGTAATCAGAGGAGCTGTTTCCAGCATAGGCAGGTGCAGTGTAGGGAAGCACTTACTGTGCCCAACGAGATGGGCTTTGAGCTGCTCTGGGCTGTGAGGGGAAGGTGTGATGTGACACCTGGACAAAGGACTGAATGCAAAACCCTAGGAGGATGAGGCCCTGCCTGGGGAGGAAGTGGGAGACAGGTAGCTGGAGAACTAATAGCATTGCTGCCTGCTAATCCCATTAAGGCAGAAATTGTCTTTGCTCTTGGTTTTTTTTCCTGGGGATGTTCCTGTGCCAACCTGGGGATTTGCGTGGTGAGATCCCAGCTCACATGAGAGCTGAAGTCGATGGGTAATTAAGCTGCTGGGTAATGAGCCTTATAACCCTGTTAGAGGCAGAGGTTAATCCTGCTGCATTGTGTGCTGGGTAGCACCTGCAGCTTCAGGAGTAATCCATCACTTCTCAGTGACACAGGACATGCCTGCACAGGCACACCTAAGGGTTTCAGATCCTTTTGAGGAAATGGGCACTTATTTCAGTGGATGAAATCTGATCTGACTGATTCTACAATCACCTGTAGCCAATGGTCCATCTCTTGTCCTGCTGAGCTGTGCTGGTTGGACTTTTGATGGTGACTATCCTACTTCTTAAGTGAAAGAGCCTTTAAGAAAATAATCATTCCTAGGATTTGTATTTTTCAGGTCACCAAGGCAGAATCCATGTGAGGGGAGATCTGGATATGCTCAGGGCTTTGGGCTTCAGCCTTCTCTCAGTGACTGAGGATGGTAGCTGAACCTCTATGGCAGCCCCAGGAGTA